GTGTAAAGAAAATGAAGGAAAATATCTGGTTAATAACTTGTGACCTCTCTTCCTCCAAGAGATCAACATATAGGACAAATTACTGCGACTAAAGACCCCCAAGCAAGTAGCAACCGTATTGGTGGCCAAAACTCAGTCCCTACCACAGTCTACAAAGCTGAGCTGAGAGTTCCATAGATTGAAAATTCGCATGAGATGAGATTCTAAAAATTAGTAGACCATAAAAAAGGAGCCGTTCGCATTTAAAGGAAAGTCCAAATGGGATTTGATGGTATTATCATTTAAGGCAAAGTCAGGTGTGTGGCCAGGTACGTCAACAAAGCAGGTAGTTCGTTCCAGATGATAATTAACGTTCAAAACCCAACTCAACTAGCCCCTTTTCGCCTGCTCTTATTGCCTTACTATGCGCTCTCGAACTCAGAGAGCACTACAAAGAGAATCACTAACACTATGACGAATCGTTGTCAGAAGCGTCGAAAGAAAACAATCCATAGCCCAACGGCAAATTAGTTAGTGGAAAGCCTAAATAAGAAGCAGACTTATCCTGAGGTTTAGCTAAACGAGGAGGGTGCCATAGCTTCATACTAACGCAACTCCTCAAAGGTCATTGTAAAGTTAAAGTAAACGCAGAGATCTTGAACCGTAATGTGATTTCATTACTCATTCTTTAAATGCTTAAGAAACTAAATCTTTCTCCTTTGTGGGAATATCTTCCTAGTGGAATGTTTGAATACTGCAAATGAGCTTTGGAGAATGACGGGAAGCAGATATACGTATGTGAAAATGACTTCAAAGTATTGTGTCCTCTTTCTGAACAAATGGAACACAAGTCAGACTGACGAGCACAGGTACAATACCGGGATGAGCACTCGAAAAGTTACATCTTTTAGCAAAACCGATCGAAAATACAGCCTGACTCATTCTGTGGTAACAACTTGAAGGACGGCCAAGTGGAATTATTAAGGCTACTGAATTGGCTCGGTCTGCGACCGCCGTGGAAGCTGTCACTATCTAAATCGCCTCAGACTTCTCAGCACCTTCAAACGTTATTTAAATCAAGGGGCCATATAGGAATACTTGAGGTCTTAGATCACTACTAAAGCAAAGTTCCATTAAATCTTTGCGGGGCAGTTCGGTAAACGAAACAGTTATTTGTATTCAGTAAAAGAGAGCTTAACGTTCTTCTGGGTAAATTGACGGTGTATCCACCACTGAGATATCCTCTTCACAAGCTGGGTAAAGTGGAACCCGCTACTTTTGAGCTGGAAAGCATCGAGGTATCTTACATGAGTTCTAGCCAAAGACGGACATAAACAGATGCGGCGATCTAACGTCTCAGGAGACAAACCAAACGATCTCTTCAGCTTGTGATGCAATCAATTTCCTATAGAGCATGCACAAAAGTGTCTTCTCTTACTTTCACACGTCCACATACATACATACACACATATGTTTATATATATGCGCGTGCATACGATTATAGAATCCATATGAGCATACCTTTTTACTAAAAATAAGAGCCAAAAAAATCAAAAAAAAAACCAAAACAATAAAATCTCCACTTCAACATGAGCCGTCCGTCGTTTGCCTGTTGCACGACACAGCAATGGACAATCGAAATCGGCAAAACGAAGAATAAAATCCACCAAACGATGTACAACAAGATGCGGCATATTTGATTTAACGATTCCCAGCGTTCCTTCTTCTGCTCTTTCGCTTTTTGATATTACCAAACGCCGCTGCCAGATTTTTTCTTTTTCAATATTTTTGTATGTAATTTTTACTTTTCATTTTTTTTTTTTTGGAATTCAGTATAAAGGGTGTTATTTTAAGATATTTTAAGACGCCTTTGTTTTCAGAGAGGCGATACTTTCTTGGCCGTTTTGATAGTTCTTACTTCCTTAAAGCCTTGGAGATCACCCGCTTTTTTACTTCAGTTTTGCGTTAGTCGGATATACCCAGTAGAGTGTTGTCCTTCTCTACCTGGTCTTTCCAACCGAGTGGCGGTCTTCCTCTGCTTCCACTGGCGGGTACTGCAACGGAAACTGTCAAAGCTGGAGTATTCTTATACAACCGGACTACACGACCTAGCCAGCGTAAACGCCGTTTCTTGATTCGCTCAACTATTTCAATGCAGCCGTATAGCTCGTACAGCTCATCATTCCATAGGCTGCTGTATTTGCTGTTCCCAACTCGTAACGCACCATAACTCGTACTCAAAACCTTTCACTCGCAAACTTTCAACATCAACTCATCAGATGTTGGCATCATTCATGCCTCCGCACCATATAGCAGGTCGGGAACAATGATCACCCTCTCTACCGAAGTTAAATCTATCGGGATCAACTTAGTTATACCTTCAGTGGAGTCGAAATGCGGCGAGTGGGTTGAGGAAATCTTTTACTGCATCCTACGCCATTGGCGAGAAAATTGACCTCAGTCCGTTTATTGTTCAGTGAATTTAAGCAACGTTAGTCAGATCCATTCTGTTCTACGGGGTCACTTACTGGTGACCAGCACTCGAAAAAAAAAATACTTTCAGGAGTCCAACGGTCGGCAGTTATTCTGATTACGTAAGTTCTATCGTCGACTCCTTTAAAAGGCTGGAAGCTTTTCTTATTTTTCTTTCCTTGAATTTGCGTCAGACCGTGATATTGGCTTCCACGCAGTTTCCAGTGAATTTTGATTACGTCAGCTCTGCTTACTACTTTGCTAATCTCTTCTCCACAAGAATCCCAATAGGAATTGTAAATTCTCCAGATCAGACTAACATATCCATCTTTTCGTATGAAAGGGAGCCTACCAGACTATTGTGGAACCACTACTTGGAAGCCGCAGAAAAAATGTTTGGAATCTCTGGTTACAAACCAACCAATCAGTATATACTTGGTTGCTACGCTCCCAACAGATCTGTTCAATGTAATTACACCACATCAACAGTGACAAGTTTTCATATAGGAACATCCCAGGCAACTGTATGGCGAATGCGCTAGCGAAATGCAAGTCGCAGACGCAACATTGTCTACGGCAAAACTCAGTTTTAAGCTGACTTTCACCAAAACAGCCTACACCTGATGGTTTAGCAAAAGAATCTGCAAGATGGCTACACAGCTTTGGCCTGTGTTGGACGCTAAAAGATCTAGGAGTTCCCCTAGATCAGCTCGCCATTAATAAAACACGGTCTAATGGGACTTCACGGCAGAATAGTAATAATTTTCGAATGAGTTTCGTGGAAGCTGTGGAGACGAAGAAGAGGAAAAGTCTGCCGTGTACTAACTCTGACACTATCTAGCCCTAAGCATTATACGACATCAATACCTAGGACATCAATTCTTTGATTGCCTAGCTGAGGCGATAAGGGCGGTTCATAAGTCTCGTGAAATGACTCGAACAACTGAGAAGCAGAGAAGTACGCCACACAATGCGTATTTCAATAGATCTTCAGGCCTAAGTGCGCTAGTCGCTGTGATTAGCAACCGTATAAACTAAACTAAACTCAACCCAAAGCTACGGGTTACGTCCAATATTTGGTTGGCATAATCCCCCAGCAGAATCGATAGTTCGAGCAACTAAGGAACAGTTTTGTACCACGTTTACTCTAATGGATAATTCGCCTCCTCCGAGACGTCTTAAAGTGGGCAGCGAGACGTTATTGCTGGTATGAAGCATAATATCGAAGGAGACCCGGATAAATATATCGCCCATCACGCGCAACAATCGGAGCTGTGTCCATTCACTTCATGGAAGATTTTGTGATCGCAGGCTCTTGGTTAGCGGACTTAGAAAATCCAACTAGCATAGAAATTGAAGCCGAACGACCATCTAGCGTGGCGGATCCCAAAACGAGATGACCACCGTTCAGGATTTTCAGCGGTGAAGCTCACTTTTGATTGAATGAGAAATTAAATCTGCCATTATGTATGACTATCAGTGGGTAACTCTATAGAGCCGTGATTAATAACTACTTTGTACCTAAGTTAGAGGATGTTGAAGTGGATGACCGAAATTTGGTTTCAATAACACCGGTCTACATGCCTGAAAGCCGACGAAATAATCAATTTATCGGAGCAAACTTGTAGTCCGTTCATTATCCCACATCGTGGGCCTACAAGATCGTACTAGTTAACATAACTGTACTATTTTTTGTGAGGTTATATGAAGTCACTTGTCTACGTTGTTAAGCCCTAGGCGATTTTGGAAGGGTATATATGGTGCGTTATTGCTGACAACCGGGCACCAACTGTTGCAAAAAGTGTTCGAAAATTGAGCATCTCGCCTAGACTACTCAAATATTCGAGCCAGCCGCGTTGGTCACTTTTCTGAAATCATTTTTAAGACATCATGGCCAACCCTTATCTATATATAATTGTCTCTTTGTAACCGCTGAAGCGATTTTTCGGCTGAGCTCCTCCTCCAATTTGTTCTTTTGCATCTTGATGTTTTGCCAACAACGGGAGGGACCTACAGTTTATACTAAGCCGCCTCCGAACGTCTCATGGTTTTTTTACGAGGAGCTCTTAATACTCCTATTTACTCGTATATAATAAAGCGGAACTCTTGACATTAAACTGAGTTTTTATTTTTTTATGAAAACCTCATATCTAAAAAAAACACCCTTTATTTTAATTTTTTTTTTAATTTTAAAATAACATTCTACTTTTTATAATTTTTTTTTTTTAATTATTTTTTTTTTCTTTTTTATATTTTTTCTTTTTTATTATTATTCCTATTATTTTCTCTCGCTGCATAATTTACCTACACATTCGGTGCTTGTTATGCTGCATTTCTCCCTCCCTTCTCTCGCTTACCAATCCACTAACAATTCGAATTCTTCGTACTGTTGTTCCTTCATTTTTTCTTCTTCTTTTTATTGCATTTTATTTTATTTTTTTTTTTTCTCTTCGTTTTTTATTCGTTTTAATATTTGTTGTTGTCGCCTGATTTTCTAAAACCTCGACACTTTGGATGCCATGAAATTGGAAATGAGTCGCCTAAATTAGTTTTAAGATGCGTTGTGGATAAATTATTGTACATATATATGTATGTATGTATGTATGTATGTGCATAGAAGAAACTCCAAGTGAAGGCAACACAGAAGCGAACACTCGATAACATCGAGTAGAATAGCTGACACACTTTGGAGATGGCATAACAACAACAAAAGTGTGTGGAGTTAGAACAACAGTATGTATGTATGTAAGCAACTATTTTGCATAAATTTGGTATTAAATGTAATTGATGAACTGTAAATTTGATATGTAAATGGAAAAGAAATACAAACTGACATTTATTCAGATTTATTTGACATAAAACTTGGTACTCATCGGCGGCCGGATGGAGCAAATGCCAGAGAGCATAGATTTTTTTTTAAGCACTCAGCGGGGAATTTTGAAATTTTTAGGTTAGTTTCGGTTGAAATGCTGGTCTGAGTTATTTGCAGGTTCGATACTTATTATTGTTGTTGTAGTATTTGTTGTCGCAGTCAACCAGCAAAGATCCATAAAAAGCTTTCAAACACCTCGTAAACTCATCAAGGATACTCGCTAGTTGAGCATGCGGCCACTGCATCCAGACATCGGTTGGTTGGTTCCTTCAATGGAGACGGCTCTGAGCATCTTAATGCAGTAGGCTGTACTTAAGCCAATGAGTAGGCTAATGGACTGCTACAATCAAGGTGTGAATACTGTAGTAGTAAACTGCACTCCACCTACTCAACCAGATTTGACCGCGGCATAGTACTTAAGCACATCACTAAACATCTCTTGGCATGACCTCTAAAACAGACGCAGCTAACAGCCCTCTTTCGCTCGTCCGAAACCGTCGAAACAACTTGTTTCTTGGACCTTCAGTCATCGACTAGCAAGCAGCTATAATAACGACTACAGTAGACTCGTGCGCCTTCGTGTATCACGACTGCGCTTTGGCAAATAAATTGCTCGCTTTTATGAACGCTACCTTCTTCTTCTTCTTCTTGAAGGCCTCAATAGACATATGGTTAGTAGCATCCAGTACCATTTAAACGGATGGAGTTCAAGTCTTAGTCCGATCAACATTCAACCAGAGTTAGAGTCTGTATCCGATCAACGTTCAACCCGAGTTCGAGTCTTGATCCGATCAATGTTCAACCAGAGTTAGAGTCTTAGTCCGATCAACATTCAACCAGAGTTAGAGTCTTGATCCGATAAACATTCTAGCAGAGTTCGAGTCTTAGTCCGATCAACATTCAACCAGAGCTCGAGTCTTGATCCGATGAGCTTAGTCGAAAATAGCTTCAGCGGATACAAATGATATTTCAAGGTTATATAACCCGTCGATACCTTTACTGGGAAACTAAGTTTCCTTTTGCATACTGCTAGTGACAGTTTGGTCTAACCGCAATCAGCGCTGCCCCAGATTAGTTTTGTGGTGAGCAGTCCATTTAAGTCGCTCTAGAATCTTATAAGTGTTTTTCTAGGATCCACCGCTTTAGCCAAAATTCGACGGCATTGAGAGGTCTTAGACAGCCACACCACCGGCGTTAGGGAATGCCAGTTCCTCGGCCATTTCATTACCTTCTACATCCTTGTGGCCCGGGCCCGAAGTAATGCTCACTGTACTCTCCTAGGGTACTACATTTATTGCCTCCTTTCGTTATCTTACACATTTGGACCTTGTTCTGTGCCGAATTTAATCGCCTTGATTGCCACCAATCGATGGGGTACAAGATTGCCCATTCAGCAACTTTAGTAATGTCCACAATCTCTGCTTGGGAGACGGAATTGTAGTCATTGAATGTCTTTATTGGAAAGATTACAGAAAAACTTTGCTCCTACGTCGGGCTCACATTTAGATCCAACAGTATCTTCACAATTACCGATAACGTGACCGTCCTTCCTCGGAAACGAGTAGATGTTATCCGAAAGATCTACTACACCTGTTGTACTCTTATTTTCGGAAACAACAACAAGAAATAACGACTCTATTATTAACACTTTCTAACACGTGTTTCGACTTTCTTCACAAATTCACCCAAGTTCAGTGACCTTTGCAATTCGTCAGCGTACCTTGAAGAAAAAAATTGAAAGAATTTCATATGTTGTTGTAGTGATTTTCGACAGCTAATCAATTTATTTGCGTATATATGTATGCTTCATAAATGTTTTGTGAATTTTGTATACCTTTCATGTACATATATGTAATGATTCTTATATTGACAATCCGTATATAAGTGCCAGAAGGCGTAGATATGGGCCCATCAATTGTACACCAATATGATCTCAATGAGAGACTGAGTTGATTTTGCCATGTCTGTCTGTATGTCTGTTCGTGGGTAGTAGGGAAAATAGTTGCTCATTTGTTTAGATATTTGAACTTAGTATGTGGATGTATTCTAGTAATGTATTGCTCAGTTTTGGGAGCTGATGAAATCGGTCGAATATACATATCATATAGCTCCCATACAAGCGATTTGTTCAGATAGGAAAATTTCGGCCGAAAATCCGTCAAAAAAGCCTTTGAAAGCATACAATTTGGTACTCCACCTACGAAAATACAAATAATCGAGTTTGGAAGACTATAACATATATCCCTTCAGTTCTAACATTTCAGATATGAAAATTAATCTTCGGTCTAGTTTAGCTATAGGTTTCTTTTAGTCTCTGCATCTCGCGCTCTATAAAAGCGTTTGGACGACGCTAGATGGCGTTAGAAATATGATATTTTGTACTAAAAAAAGGAAGATGGAAGAAGTGTTGATCACTCAACTCAGTAGTGTTTGAGCGCATGCCAAAGATGACCACCACCAGCAAAGAAAAAATACGCCATTGCTATAACTTTTCTCCGATAAAGTCGAAAACACTAGTCCCACCGCTTAAAATGAGTATAGCATTTGTAGTCCTGATACTGTAACGTCCATTTCGTACCGGTAATTTTGATGTAAAAGATGCTCGAAACGTCGAAAATGTCGATAAAATTATGGAAATCGTGGAGCGAGTACTACGATTGCGTAGCATATCCATGAAACACCTAGACTAATCGCGCTTTTTTGTGTTTCTAGCCTTTTTCAAGTGATTCCAAACTATTTTTTTTTTTGTGCATTGTTTAGCTCCTTCCCAATCGAACTACTAGCTTGACGTTCAGGCTCGACGATTTCCATTATTTTATCGACGTTTTCGCTGCGAATAGCTGCTGAGTCGTAACAAAACCGAACCATTTCACTGTAGGTAATAGCGAGTGGTGATGGAAAGTGGATTACTTACAGCAAGGTCAAATGAAAACGGTCATCCTCGTAGAGTTGCGAGTCGGCACAAACAGTCTCCAAGCCAGTATTGACAGTTAGAAAGGTTTTGTTGTTTGTTAGGTAGAATTGACAAAGGAATCATCCAACATTAGCGTCACCACTAAGGCGAAATTTGAAGAACTGAAGCAAGCGATCGCTCAGAAGCGTAGAACTCCGGCAAATAGGAAGGGAATACGGTTTCGTGCATCCACGAGTTTTATTGTTTGTTAGATAGAATTCGCAAGGAATCATCTATCATTAGCGACACCCCTACAGCCAAACTCTTAACGCGGAACTGTACTGTCTATTAACTGAAGCAAGCAATCGCCCAGAAGCGTCCAACTCTGGCCACTTGAAGAAGAATTTTATTTCACCAGCACAACATGAAATCACATACAACGATAGATGATAGAGAGTTGAGTTTGGAAACTACTTATGCATCCACCTTATAGTCCGAAGCTCATTCCCAGTGATTACCAACTGTTCTGTCTATGGTGAATGATTTAGCTGATGAAGAATTGGCCTTAAGAGAAGCCAAGAAGCGAGAAATGATTGTGCCAATTTTTGGCCCGTAGAGAATAGGGTTTCTATGACATTACCTGTATAGTTGGTGCATATTTGAGATAAATCGTATAATTCTAACTTTGGTAAACAAAGCCTTCAATTTAATGCGAAAATAGTGTATGACTTTTTACTAGCCGTAAATATTTAATCCTAAAATGCAATAAAATAAATTTTAAATGCTCATAAAGGGTATTGAAAACTTCGGTTTCGGACTGCTTGTGTGTTTTTCTTTGCTTTTATTTTTTTATTTTATTTTTTTTATTTTCCTTTGAGTCAACACTAACTATAATTAATATTTATGACTGACTAATAAATAGTGACCAAACATATATTCATAATAATCAACTATTATTGCACATGTATATTTCTATATATATATATACCTATGTATATATATAATAAAAAAGTCTGTATATGTAAGTCAGTAGAGTCACGGGTAGTTCTCTTTGCGCAGCCTGAAGTTGTAGTTTTTTTTATATTTTTTTTTTTGGTATTTCTTGTATGTAAATGTGTGTCACAATTCTTATTACCATTTCTTTGTATTTACATATATTATAATATATAATTATTTAACCTTTTTCATTAATAATATAGTAACATAGCAATGGAAATTAAGTTGATTGCCTTTTTGGTTGAAATAGTGAATTATGATTTTTAAAAATTATTACCTTTCGCCGTAAAGATTTCTTGGTCGGTTGACAGTAAGACATGTGGCACCTGAAAGAAGCAGAAGAAGAAAGCACAAAGAGCAGGTGAATTTTTGTAGAGAATAACTTTTCCTTTGAAAAAAAATATCATACTTTTTAATTTATTTTATTTTATAGAATTTTTTTCAATTTTTTTAAATTTTTTCAATTTTTTCCATTCAATTTATCACCAGTGAAATGAACTTTCTTATAAAAAATCTCAAAATATATGAAAGAAACACTTAAATAAATAAATATAAAAGAATTTTAACAATACAATACCGTAATATTTATATTGAAACAAGTGTTTCAATTTAAAAAAAAAAAATATTTAAAAGTGTTGTACCCTTCTGGAATATATGTACGTATGTATGAAGCTCTGAAAACAACTGTGGCAGTTTTTGAATAATTCGTTTGTGTTCGAAACTCACTGTTATCAAAAGTTTATTAACCTCACTTTTTAGTAAGCGCAAAAAATTAAAAAATATACGTTCTCAGAGATCTGTTAGCGACTTACAGCAAAGCTTATGAGCTTGGCAGAATGACCACCTTAAGAGTCGATATCAACAGCCAAGAGGCGAGCCGGCACATCCCTTGCGGTAAGACATGCTTGTCGTAAGCGGCAACTAAAATTCAATAGTTCACGCGATAGCTAGGTCTTTATACCGGCACGACCT